CTGCCTCTGTGCTGACCCAGCGCTGGCGCAGCGCTGCCTCTGTGCTGACCCAGCGCTGACGCAGCGCTGACCCAGCGACGGTGCAGCGCTCCCTCTGCGCTGCCCCCGTGACGGTGAGGTCTCCGTGCACTGACTCCTGAGGGTGCAGCAAACCTCTGGACTTATCCCCCTGAATGTCTTTTGGCAGTGTAGTTCTCCCTGACAGTGCAGCACTCCTGCTATTCTGCCGCCATCTATGCTCGGGGAATTGTTGGTGTCTGTAATCGAGGATAGGGTAATTCATCACCTCAAAAAATTTTAGTTAATCAGGGAGTATCAGCATAGATTCATGAAGGGTGTGTTATTGCTGACAAACATCATAGTTTGTTGAAAGTGTGACAAAAGTGGTGGACAGAGGTAAGACAATGGATGTTGTTCAAATTAACTTCCAGATCACTTTTGATAAAGTCCCATACAGGAGACTGTCAGCAAAGGTTGGAGCCCACAGAATTGAGGGCAAATTACTGATGTGTATAGGAAACTGGTTGATTGTCAGGAAACGGAGTTGCAATGATGAGTAAGTAATCAAATTTGCAGGACATGACTAGTGGTGTCTCGCAGGGATTTGTGTGTGGCCTCAGTTATTCACAATGTTCATTCTCAACTTGGATAATGGCATTAAAGGTCAAATATCCAAATTTGCTGATGTCACAAAATTGGACAGTATTGTGGACAGTGCTGACAACAGCTTAAAATTATAACAGATATTGATAGATTAGGTGAATGAGTGAAATTGTTGGAGTCTATAATCAAAGATAGTATAACTCATCACCTCAAAAAATTTCAGTTAACCAGGGAGTGTTGGCATAGATTCACGAAGGGTATATTATTGCTGACTAACATCGCAGAGTTGTTGAAGAGTGACAAAAGTAGTGGACAGCGGTAAGGCAATGGATATTGTTCATGTGGACTTTCAGATTGCTTTTGATAAAGTCCCAGTGTGTATTTTGCATAATAATGAATGTGCGCAGGAATTTCCCATGTTAACAGTTAACCCTTTACTTAGTGAATATGACTGGCAGGTTACACTATTATCTCTGTGTCCCAAATAACAAATCCTTAGTAAATTAATTCCAATGTTCTTTGGCAACAGTGACATTGCTAACATCCAAATGTTTTGGTGATTTCTTTATAGACAGGGTCAAGGTTAGGACTTGACAGGAGGAGTTTAAGTCAGGTGAGTGAGAAAAGGCTTTGCTAACACAAAGTAGACTCATTTTCTTTCTGAACATGTTCATTTCTCACAATGAGGTTTGAGGGATCTTGCTGTGTACAATTTGGCCGTTGATTTTCCCGACATGATGACAAGAAGTACACACTGCAAGGAGTCAGACAGTCCCTTTTAATATCTAAGTTGACAGTGACACCACTGACATTGTAGCTCTCCCTTAGTTGTGCCTCCTAAAATAGTGTAACCCTCTCATAATGGACCCCTGTGTGCTGCCATTTCTACCCCCTAATGGTGCTTTGCTCCCTCAGCTCTGACCCCCACAAATGGTGCAGTTTTTGCTCAGTAATGGCCCTTTGACAGGTTTGTATGCCTTCACTAATGAACCTTTGCCAGTGCAGCACCTATTGCTGCCTGAAAATGCTGCATTCCCCGGTACTACTACTACAGTAATATAGAAATCTGTTAGTACTGACCATCCGACAGGTGTAACTCTCTTTCAGTATTGTTTCTTGGACAATGCAGCACTGTGTCAGTACTCAAATTCCTACAAGCCAGCACACCCTCAGTACTAACCCTCCAACAGTGTAGCACTCCCTCTATACTCCAACAGTGGAACGCTTCCTCAGCCCTGACTCTCTGACAGTTCAGCTCTCTTTCAGTATGGAACCTACAAAAGTGCAGCTTTCCCTCAGTACTGACCCTTCAACAGTGTAGCATTCCCTCAGTACTGATGCTCCAAAAGTGCAGCAATTCCTCAGCTCACCCTCCGACAGTGCGGCGCTCCCTCGGCACGGACCCTCCGACAGTG